GAGGAAGCAGATACATCTGGAGTGTTTAACTTTGTAGTATTCCAGACATTGCCTGAACAGAAGGAGCCCATCTCAAACATGTCTTTGCATTGCGTTTATACTCTGGATCCCTCAACACACTTGCAGTCATCTTCTAAGCTTTAGTCAGATGAAAATAAATCAGACTGTAAAAATTATAACAAACCAGACATGTAGCCTGTTTTTCACAGAGATGAAGAGAATTGTTGTAATGATACAGAAATTGAAAAATTAAAGAACCCACTGGTTATGGTTGAAATGAAAGAAGACCGAGAGTTTGATATGCAAATAACAAAAAATATAAACCAAAATACTACTAATAGAAAATTAGACATTAGACATTGGCCTCAGTCTAGAGATGCAAAAAGTCTTTTTTGATTTGTGGTTTGCTCACTCCAAAGTAATGGAGCATATGATACAGATAGAAAGCCCCAGTATTTCTGCTGTTAGAGACACTTACAAAAATGGAAAACCAATACAGCACTTGTTCCACAAGCCATATGGAACTTAGAAGCTCTTCTAAAGCTTAGAAGGTGACTAGCAAGTGTGTTTCAGGGACCCACGTGTGACAGTCCCACTGCTAATAGCTATAAAAGCATGAAACCTGAATTAGAAAATGTGAGTTATTCTTCACCACTTAGTGACAGAACATCAAAAGCATATCTAGCTTGCCAGTCATCTTCTAAGCTTTATTCAAAGGAAAACAAATCAGACTGTAAAAGTTATAACAAACTGGACATGTAGCCTGTTTCTCACAGAGATGCAAAGGCTTAAGAATGAGGCGGGCATGTTACAAATAGACTGCCTGGCTTTGAATAAGAAAGTTTAACTATAAAAAGAAAGAGGTTCACTTGCTGCTTCTCTTTTTATAAACTACCTGATTTGTTCTGGTTTTCTAGTCAAGAAAATCTTGTTTTTAGTTACAGTGGTGTTATCCAAATGTGTAATTATGTGTCAAAGTAGATTAGTACTGCTATCTAAATGACAGTTCTGGAAAACATTCTCATAATGTTTGTTCATTAGTCAACCTAAGTCTCACTGTCAGTCTTCCAAGTGAGAAGACTTGGGCTGGGAAAATAATTTAGCCATGTGACCTTCTGAACCAGATAAGTATAAAAGAAGTTGCTAAAGAAATAAGCTCTAGATTCTTTTTTCTGTATTGATTTAAACATGAATTAGATTTATTTAAATAATAAAATGGTAATACAATGGGAGGGAAGCAATGACTGAGAAGAGACCTGAAAATGTATCCAGCCTTGAGAGTTGCAACAAATATTCCCAGCCAAAGAAGTCTGTTTAATGTGCTTTCATGCATGCAGATTTATCTGTTTAACTCAAACTGTTAAAAAGTATAATTCCATCATGGTCATTTTAAATATTTTTGGAAACAAATACATATACTTTTGCATATTAAAAAAAAATTACCATTCCCCAATGTTTCTGTTGAATCAGACTTTTACATTATGTTGTTTAATAAAATATGGTAAAGTTTGACATGTATGATTTTATCATGTAAGTAGCATAATTCCTCAGCCAAAAATTTAGCATTTGAGTCTATAGTACAAAGCTGAGTTCTGTACATTGTGTTCTAAAGATAGACAAAAATATAGATATTTTCTTCTTTCAAAGTAAAAGCAAATGAGACCTCCCACCATCCTCCGAGGCATTAAATTGCTTTGACAAAGTCACACTTTTAATTTATCTGACGAATTTGATATATTTTTCTGGAAATTTATGTAATCCAGCAATATGCAATTGTATCTTCCCTTTTGGTGCCATGAAATGCTAGGTAATGCTACCTTAGGAGCTTTGGTCAATTATTTAATATTTCTTGGTTTCACTTCCATTATGAAGTAGATAATCAGGCTAGAGTGGATAGCTATACTATATATCTTCCAGCTATAAAGTTTTGTGGTAATTGAATATAAATTAGGGGAATATCTCATCTTCCAGGATTCAGCACTAGCAACTCAGCAGTTTCACTCTTCTCATTGTGTTGGGGCAAACTTTGGTTCCTCTATTTCAGTGAGCACCTTCACTTTTTTGATATTCTAGGATCCAAATAAAAAAATAAGGATAAAAGGCAGTGGGAAATAGAATAGTTTAGTGCAGAAAAGGGAAAGCTTCTTTTCTGTTTCTGAAGACCCAAAAGTTCACATCTTCTCAATCTGGCTATTTCANAAATGAGACCTCCCACCATCCTCCGAGGCATTAAATTGCTTTGACAAAGTCACACTTTTAATTTATCTGACGAATTTGATATATTTTTCTGGAAATTTATGTAATCCAGCAATATGCAATTGTATCTTCCCTTTTGGTGCCATGAAATGCTAGGTAATGCTACCTTAGGAGCTTTGGTCAATTATTTAATATTTCTTGGTTTCACTTCCATTATGAAGTAGATAATCAGGCTAGAGTGGATAGCTATACTATATATATTCCAGCTATAAAGTTTTGTGGTAATTGAATATAAATTAGGGGAATATCTCATCTTCCAGGATTCAGCACTAGCAACTCAGCAGTTTCACTCTTCTCATTGTGTTGGGGCAAACTTTGGTTCCTCTATTTCAGTGAGCACCTTCACTTTTTTGATATTCTAGGATCCAAATAAAAAAATAAGGATAAAAGGCAGTGGGAAATAGAATAGTTTAGTGCAGAAAAGGGAAAGCTTCTTTTCTGTTTCTGAAGACCCAAAAGTTCACATCTTCTCAATCTGGCTATTTCATGTAGCACCCTGGTGATAAAGACAGAAGACACATTTTGTGTCTGTGTCTTTTTGTTTGTCTGTTTTTGTGTTGATATATTTACACCACAGAAGTAACTGTGATCTGGTGGAGAACTAGAAGTCGAGTCAAAAACCTTGGGGAAAATGCTGCAGTTTGCTTGTATTTTTTAGCCTCTCTTTTTAAGAATTGTGATAAGTAAATAAGTTCATCAATACATGCATGTAGAAGTGCTTAGTACAATGTCTAGATATATGATTTAGTAAATATAATTCTTATAACTAAAAAGGATTGAGTGAAATCACAATAGAATATTATTAAAAAAACAGAACTTTAAACACATTGAGAAATTTTATCTGTCCAAATACATGTGGAGGTAAAGCTCTTACTATAGGGTGATGTCTGGGTTAGATATTACAGTATAAACGCAATTTTCTTTTTTCAATATTTTAATTTAGTCAAATGTGTTAATATTTTATTTTATGCTTTGAGTTTGTTGTAATTCAGAGAAAGGCTTTTCCATTTCTGATAGTCTTGAAAATTCTCAAGTGTGTGTGTAATTTTTACTGCTATGGATTCTTTGACTTCAAATAAAGTTTTCAATTTTTTGAAACTTATGCTAAGGTTCAAGGTTTTGCTTCAAGTTTTTCTCCAGCTGGATATCCACTTATAGCAACTTTTAATTGCATGAATGTACAGGTTGTTCATTCACTTCAGAGATAATCATGATATGTTACTTTATTGAGGGCTTGCTAAAAATTTCTTTTGTTTTATTTAGGATTGTCAACGTTATGGAAAAAAGAAGGATGTGAAGTCTGAAAACTGCATGTTGAAGAAAGATATTGCCATACTCAGACAAAAAGTATATGCAATAAAAAATGACAGTCTCCAAAAGGAAAAGGAATATATTCAGGAAATTATAAGTATTAAAGGAACAAATACTAACTTTCAAAAGAGCGTAGGACTCAATGAGGAAATGATAACAAAAACAATGTCCCAGTATTGTCAACAGCTTAATGATCTCAAAGCTGAGAATACAAGGCTGAATGCAAAACTGGAGAAGGAAAAACACAGCAAGAAACGACTGGAAGCTGAAGTTGATTCCCTCTATTCTAGACTGGCTGTTGCTGTAAATGAGCACAAAGAAAGTATGCAAACAAAGGACCTAGAACTTACTTTACAAAGAACAAAAGATGTTTATGTACAAGAAATAACGAGTTCTAATATTTCTCAACTAAAAGATAAGAATGAGTTGCTTAGTGTGCTAATTTCTAAAGCTCGAATGAAGTTTAATACCTTAAAAGGTAAGCTCCACAAGACAAGAGATGCTCTCAGGGAAAAGACATTGGCTTTAGAAAGTGTAGAGATGGACCGAAGGCAAGCACGGCATCGAATAAAGGAAATGAAACAGATGCATCCAAATGAAGAAGCTAAAAAGAACCAATTCATGGTAAAGCAGAACTGTGAAGAGAGAATATGTCAACTAGAACGTGAAAATCTCTTGCTTGAACGACAACTAGAGGTTACTCATAAGGACGGCAATAATAAAGAGATAGTAATTAATATTGAAAGAGGCTGTCTTGAGAGTGGACAGGAAGATTTTCTTGAAGAGAAAAATAAGGAATTAATGAATGAATATAATTATTTAAAAGAAAAACTGTTTCAGTATGAAAAAGAAGAAGCAGAAGAAGTAAGTATGAAGAAAGATAAATATTTTTAGTCTTCTGGAAAAAAAATTTAAACATTTCATTCTGGCTATATGTTGAACCTAGCTCAATATAAAAATGAATAGATAAAAATATGTTTACCATACTGTATAATTCTATTTACATGAACCATCTAGAAAATACATGTATAGGGACAGAAAGTAGATTAATGTTTTTGTAGGGCTGGAGCTGGAAATGGGTAGTGACTGCTAATGGGCATGAGGGATTGTCCTGGAGTGATGAAAATGTTCAAAAGTTGGATTGTAGAGATGGTTGTATAAGTCAGTGAATTTGTTAAAGTACGTATGTTAGAGTTAAACATGTATTTAGAGTTAAACATGTAATAATATTTAAATATTACTAACTCTACTTAGAGTTAAATATTATTCCATGTTGTGGAATAAATATGTTAAAAATCTTCAACTATATGTGAAAACATAAATTTTATAGTATATAAATCATGCACATACAGAGATGTTTCAGTAGAAAAAACAAAAACCAATGTTTTTATTGTATCAGCTTGGAAACATACCTTATTTTCAAGAAATAAAAGGTAGCTTTACTTTGACTAAAGACATTATGTCGGCCTGGTGCAGTGTCTCATGCCTATAATCCC